TTTGATTACAGCTCAAATGGAAATATCATTAATAAAATGCTTAGCATCATTAAGAATGCCAGGAAAGCTTAAGGCTGAATTTTACAGATCTTGCATTGTTAGAGGCTATTTACATTTTACTCTGCAAACAAATGTCAGGATATTTAGATTTAAGGTAAAATTAAATATAAAAAGTCAACATAGTACATTTCAGGTAAACATTTTCTTCCTTTATATTGCTTGTTACTCGATAGATTAATTGTAAGTGATAAAGAAACAAAAGTGACTTATGACCTATGTTTAAATATTGGCAATGTGCCTAGTAGCTTTAGTTTTGCGTTTTAAAAGAAAAGCAGAAATCCTGATAACTGGTTTTAAGAGCTAATGAAAAGTTGGTAGAGACAAAAATTAGAGCTTTTGCATTGTGTCATAGGAATTAAACCTAAAGCTTTGATTCCATGACTGTGTGTGTGTGTGTGTGTGTGTGTGTGTGTGTCTGTCTGTCTGTCTGTCTGCTTTTAGTGTAAAATATGGTTTTATGAGACAACCTAATCCCATGAAGGATGCATTATCAAAACCTGTTAAAAAAAATTAGAATTCTCCTTTTAACACCAGCCATTCTCATATTTATTCTCCCTCTCCCTCCTTCTTTCCTTCTCATTCCTTCTCTTCCCCCTCTCTCTGGTATTTCATCATAGTATCTGTAGAACTCTGTCAGAGTACTTCTGGTCCAGGTACAGGGAAAGGATCCTTTCTTTGAGTGCCTACACTCATTATGAGTGACTTCAGTGTCCTCTGGAGCCTGGGGAGGTGTGGCTGCAAACTGATTGTCATCATATGACTTTTTTAGCCTTCTGAGTGTTGAGTGGGGTGAGGAGTGTTATCTTCGTATTTTTTCCTTCTCTGAATTTACCTTATTATCCTTGCCATTTATATTAGCGGAACTAAAAAGATGAGTAAGTAGTTTTCTTGAAATGGAAAGCTCAGACCCACATCAAAGAAGTTTCTAAGACTTGAAAGTAGAGTCAGCAGTGAAACCAACAGATAGTTTTAAAACAGATGACCAAGCGTAACTGTGTCACAGGGGCTTAAGAGAGGAGTTCCAGATACTTCCTCGGCTTTGTTTTTGCCGAAACTGTTTTCATTTCTCTTCGATCAATTAATTTAACTTATAGGAAAGTCTCCTAAGGAAATAATCAGAAATGGTAGTAGTAATTTATATCCTTCACCATGTTTTTTAAACACTGAAAAATTAGAAACAGTCTAAATGTGTATCTTTATTCTTTTCTGTCTTCTTCCAAAGTCTCTACAATAGACCTGTTAGTAAAATGAGAAAAAATACTTGGATATATATTTTTCGATGCCTTTTAAGTGAATATTAGCATTAAACATTAGCCAAAAAATGTTTTACTGGTGACAGGCTACAGAATACCTACCAGAAGTGCTTCCTTTGATCTTCTTCTTGGGCCAAATCTTTGGGACTCCAGGTCTACCTTTGGTACTGTCAGCAACCCCTTGGGCCTTCAGTGCCACTGTAGGGGGTGGGGAGGGCCAAACGGAGGGCTGCTAGTGCTGGTGGAGATGAGGGGAGAGGAAGGGAACTGAGAGTAAAAGAGTTACAGGAGCACAACCTGTAATCCCAGCACTCTGGGAGGCCAAGGAGAGTGGATCCCGAGATCAGGAGTTCAAGATCAGCCTGACCAATATGATGAAACCCCACCTCTACTAAAAATACAAAAATCAGCCAAGCGTGGTGGCAAACCCTTATAACCCAGCTACTCAGGAGGCTAAGGCAGGAGAATTGCTTCAACCCGGGAGGCAGAGGTTGCGGTGAGCCGAGACTGCCACTGCACTCCCGCCTGGGCAACAGAGTGAGAATCCGTCTCAAAAAAAAAAGAGAGAGAGAGACGTGCGCACATATAGTAGGATCCATTAAAGGCTCCCAGTAATTTCAAGTGACCACAGAACTGGATTTTTTTTCTTGTTTTTGTTAAATGAATATTTTCAAAGGCTGACTCTATTCGACCGATTTCTTCTTGCTAAAAATTTTTATTAGATCTTCCCACTTCTTAGTGTTTCATGTCCTCCAAATCTGTATTTCATCTCTCTCTTAACATTGTCATTCACCATTTATTTGCCTCTTCCTTACATATAAATAAATTAACCTGTCTAATTGTCCTTTGCCGCTAAGATTTCATTTTCCTTCCTAAGTACCTTGCAAGTCTGCCTTTTGTTAATTTTGCCTAAGAGGGGCTTTTTCCATCAGCAGGAATGAAAGCAGTCAATAAAAGTCAATTGCGGGACTCTATGATTCTATGGAGGGTTTACCATAATGCATATTGGAAATGTTTTTGAAACCTTTATCCTGAATGGAAGGTGCCATGGCTTGTGTTTTATGGCCTTCTAATGTTAGACAGCAATCTCATTTAGCATTTTCCCAAAGTGAAAACAGTGCATTAGGGCAGTATAACAAGCTTTACAGATCAATACAGAGACAAACCTTTACCCTTACAGATTAATCCAAGAAAATGTCCCGAGTCTACTCCAGGAACTGGAGTTTCTGCCATCTAATCATTAATACAGATTGAAATGTGGACAAAAAGAATTTCAGAAGAAGGCCACACACACACACACACACACACACACACACACACACACACACACACAGAACAAACCACCAGACAGGAAATCAAGAGCCCTAGAAGTGAGTAGTATTGACTTGTGGTGATAAAAGTATATCTTGACACATTTCAAATCATAAATAACTCATGGACTTTAACTGACTAATAGCTCAGCTCAGGGTAAATGCTTATCTACAACTTAAACGACCTCTTTCTAAGGAGTCCATAACATTTGGTGAATTATCCTATGATGAGTAGTCTTTTTAAAGGAAAAAATACGCTGTCTTCTTTATGATGCGCAGTATGTGGATGCTCATTTTTACAGTCTTTTCCCGTATGTTAATGAGGAAGGGCTGCATATCCGCTCAGGGTTGTTCTAGTCTCCCCTGCTCACCTCCTTCCCCCTGTTTTTAAATCTAAGACACATCGGAGACACGCTTAGTTGTCAACACTAGGATAGAATGTAACCCCGCTTTCCTATGAGCTATTCGTCATTAGTTGTGTATTTGCTAGGTTCAGCTGATCTGATGCTTAATCATATTTTATTCAGTATTTATCCAGATGCAGGTCTTGCTATAATTAGTTAGTGGTATCTGTGCCTCTACTCTTTGAAGCACAGCTGATTCCTTTTAAATCCCAATGTTCGTGGTAAAGGATTAGGGAAATCTGTGTCCAGAAAAATTCAGACATCTGAAGTTTGAAATCTTAAAGCATGGAGGCTCCTGGGATTAGATTTAAATTCTGTTCTTAGGTATTTGACAAAGCAGTAAGGTAATGAATGAAAAAGTAAAAGTGATGTTATAGAAAATTTGCTGAAATATTTTTTTCTCTGTATGTCTGTGTTCTTTAGAGGGTAGCAGGAAGTCAGGGAACCACTAACATGCTTTGTATTTCTATTCTAGCAGAATATATATTAGCTTAGTGTACTGGATAAAAGTAATGAGGAGACAAATTGTCACCCAGGGGGTTCCTTATTGATGAGAAATATTCCCCTATGTTCTCTAGGGTTTTTTTTTTTTTTTAAGAACCCATTACATTTAAAATGTGATTTCAAGATTACTATGGAAATAACAAATTTAAATTTCAAAAATAGAAGCGATAAGAAAGACTGGAAGCTTCATGTATTAAAACTAACTTGAAAAAATATGAATTTCTAGATTAAAAGTAGTAATATTGTTTTTTTCTCTGTGTGTATTTAGTTCTTACAGTCCAAACTTCCTGCTGTATTAACAAGAATATTTTACTTTCATCCATATAATTCATTTGGTTTATTATAATTTTTCATGCATATATTATAAGCTTTTTGGAAACATTTACATTTGGTCTCACATATTCACAGAGAAGCAATCTGACTAAAATCTGAGATTTGTAAGTATAATTAGCAAAATTTTCACTCAGGGGACTTTAAAATGTTTTCTTTGCATCCGTTTGTATTCATTCAGTAAATGTATTACACGACTCCTACAGGGGTTTCCATGTCTAATAGCTGAGGTGACAAAGAAAATAAGACACAGTTCTTGGAATCTGCATTCTAGTAAATGTAGGTTACTAAATTGTATTAGACAATGGTGTAGTCAGTGTCACGTGCATGGCAAGAAAAGTGAATATAGGACCAAGGGGGTCATCATAAAGGTACTGAAAGACTGTACCAGGGTTGGAGTGGAGAGCTAATGAAAGTTGACACTTGAATGACGTAGCAAAGGATGGGCAGGTGTTGTCCAGGTATATAGGCATGGGTGGGAGTTTGGATGAAGAGCATTTCCAATATCAAGAACAGCGTGAGCTAAGATATGATGAGAGTCTAAGAACCAAACCCTGAACTGGGTTTGTCCAGGCATTGGCTGTGTGCAGGGTTGAGGGGTGAAGGCAACAGGATAGGCAGGAACCTGGTCAAGAAGCTGGAACCAGCCAGCTGTCCTTGTATTTTGTGTAGTAAGTGCTGGGGAAAGATACCATCCTCAATTTACTATTGGAAAGGAAATTGAGGTGTGTAGAGGCAGGAGTAGGGAGTGTCAAAGCTGAGAGAGAGACCAGCTGCGGGGTCGTTTCTTGAATCCAGGATGTGGCTCACTTGGAAGCCATGTAAGGACAGCGAGTGTGGAGGAGGAGGACCAGGCTGCAGGCATCTCCAACTCTGTGACCAAGTGGATGTGGGAGTGGAAGAGAGCTGAGGGCTTCCAGGCTTCTGGCAGCATTGACATGGTTTCGATTTGGAAGGGAAGGTTACATTGTCCAGACTAACTCAGAGCAGTGTTAATGTTTAAGGAAAATTATTTCTCTTAAACTTTTTTCTACATGTGCAACACCTGTGTCTTATACTACATTTTATGCGTTCTTGAACCTTGATTTTTATTCTGAATGAAGACCATTGGTCTCAGCAGTTCCTGTGTTTGTTTTCAGGCGATATGAGTCTCATCCAGTCTGTGCTGATCTGCAGGCTAAGATTCTCCAGTGTTACCGTGAGAACACACACCAGACCCTCAAATGCTCTGCTCTGGCCAGCCAGTATATGCACTGTGTCAATCATGCCAAACAGGTAGGTGTGCCAACCAGGCCAGTGGGGGCACTGGGCAAATAGCTGGATGACCTGAGGCAGTGGTGAGGACTTAGTGGACCAATCTGTGTGAAAAAGCTTTATAAGCCCTAGTCATCATCGTCAAGAATTACTGTGATGAGTTGGTTAGGGCATAACTTCTATCCAGATCATTGTCAAAGAGCCCATTATCTTCCTTGTGTTCAACTCATTTATTTACAGAAAAAAAGGATTCTACTAAGATTATATTTTTCTCCACTTGCGCTGAACTTTTGTCTTCTAATCATAAGGTTCTCAGGGTCATGCCTCATACTTTTAGGCCACTATTTAGAGCCAGCGAGGAGGATACAGATTAAGAGCTGGCAGCTTTGGGCCCAAGAGCAGCAGGTAGAGTCATGCAGGGGCCAGGTGAAAACAACAGCAAAAAAACCCCATTCAGTCACTGTCCAACCCTTCTGATAGAGTTGACCTAATTGGACAGGGAAAGGGAAACCAGAGAGAGCATTTAAAAAATAATTTCCACTGCTTTTACAGACCATAGCCATATTCTTCTCTTGACCCTTCGTATCAGAAAAATATGATATTCGCAGGACGTGCATTTTCTCTAATTTATGTACTTTAGAAAGCTAATGAATGATAAACCCTGAAGCAAATTATCAGTTCTAGCAGGTCACATAATTGCCTATCATTTAACCAATTTAACAGTTGGGCATAGGTTGTTCTGAGAGGCGGAAATTGTTGGAAACCTTGATTCCCTCTGCTGACAAACTCCATAGATTTGACCTTCGAATCCAACTAAATCTAGCGTTTGAGTTACACAGCATGCCTTTCTGCAGTCTAATTTGCTCTAGTTAGAATAATATCACTTGGTGTAAAATTTTTAGACTCTCTAAATATCTGACAGGAGGATTAGTATTGTCTGGATAGCTGGAAAATAACAGTAACATTAGTGGAAAAAATATAATCAAGATTTATTAAAAAGCATTTGTTGCCCTTAAAAGCCTAGTGGCTTGCAGCTTTTTTCTGTTTCTTGCTTGTAGCAGCACTTGTGTAACTCTTAGTAGTATGCACGGGATCCTTTTCTTTAAAGGTCTTTGGTAGAAGCAATGTTGCTAATGTTAAGTTAGTACATTCTCTTTGTCGCAAACAGCTTCTGATACGCTCTTAACAAACCCCAGCCTTCAATATGAATACGAACTGAAGGACTTAGGACTTACAGGTTGATTCATGGATTTTTCTAACTTGAGAATAGTGCCTTATTGAGGTGGCGGTCAGTGGAAAAGAGGGGCTGTGACAAAGTGTGTATTTCAATGCTGGTCTCCAGCACACGTGCCTACTTCCGCTGTGTGATTTGTGACGTTACCAAAGTGGCAGCTGCAGGGGCATGGGGAGTATCGACCCCATCCTGCCTGTCTGGGTTGTGTTGAATCGTCTACATAGTCCTGTGAGATCCATGGTACATATTTATAGGATAAAGCAGAGTTAACTTGTGACAAAATCCAATATGCCACATAGCACAATAGGGAGTTAGAATCTGGAAGACCTGAGTTTGTACCCTCTCCTTTGCCTAGCTCTGTGACCTTGGGGCTTGAGTTTTCTCATCTGTGAATTGGGATCATGTTGTGAGGATTACTTTGATATAAAGTATTCAGTCAATCTAATTTTCCCCCCTTCTTTCCTCAGTTGCATTATTGTGCTGAAATTTACTAAACAGCTCAGCCAAAAGCATCAAATTATTATTAGTGATTTCAAAAAAGACCCTCTTTTTTCCCCTTCACTCTCCAATCTGTTATTTTCAGGTAATATGTTTGGAGTGCCTATGGTTCTCATGGCTCTTGTATTCAGTTATTAGGAGGTGTATAATACAAGTTAATGTTAAAAAGATAGAAGCCCTCAAACCTTTTTTCCTAAGATGGGCAACACTGAAATGGATGAGAGCCAAGAAATAGCACCACGTCACATTTCTGCAGTCGTTAGGATTGCAAGGTCATTACACATCCATTCTTTTACTTGTTGTTTTTTTTTTTTTTTTTAAGACAACCTGAGATGTAAATAAAGATGGTTTTATTTTCACCATTTTCCAGTTGAGAGCATTGAAACTTAGGGAAGTCACGATAGTAAATTTAATAGCTAGACCAAGATGTACCTTGCCGTAGAAACAAAAAATTTCAAAATACATAAGTGGCATTTGGTTTTCGAGTGGGCAGGTTTGTGAAGGGGCATCCAGCCATCATCCACTAATACAGAAGTAAGGCAGTAAGGGAAAGAGAAAGTGAAAACGCTAGAGTGAGGGCAAAGAACGGGAACTATCTAACCAGCAGGTGACAGTGTCTGAAGGTCACACATGGGGATTGGGTTGATGAAGCCCGTGATGAGAGGGGCAGCTTGGCACTGCTCCGTTTTAAGATCGTGCCACGAGGTCAGAAGGAGCTTCTGTCAGTGTTTCATGAGCAGTTACTTTCCCTCCAATACCAGGTTGCCCTTTTGCTCTTTGTGAATTTAGCCTCGTGACCCCAACTGTGCCCCTGTTGTTAGAAGCGACTCCAGCAAGATACGTGGTCCCAACTGCCTATTTTAGCAGCTCCTCGTGGGCCAACTCTCCTTATGTTTCCTGTTAAATCCAGAGAACAAGTTGGACATGCTAAACATGGAAAATCCTCAGCACAACAACAAGCTATTAGGATGTGTTGTCCATATCTGACACACAGTGCAAGGATTTCCCCCATGGAATAATTCCAGTGGCTAAGCCCACTCCACTCTTAAATGACTCATCAGATTGGCCTTTCACTGGTTCCCCGGGGTATTGTCCTGGAGACTAATAGATTTTACTGATAGGAAAATTTCCAGATACTCCTTAGCCTTACTCTTCCTCTCTACTTATTTTTCCACTTACTCACATGAATCTTTCTTCAGCTGTTCTCAAACGATTTCTCATGAGTTGACATGAGACATTTAGACTGTTATTTCTAGTATATTAAGTTATGTGTTCTTCATGAGAGTAAAGAGATATTAAATTGCTATAATTATTACTCCTAAGACTTAAAAGCTACCGGCTGGCTATATGAGATGCAGCATTTAAAAATGAAGGAGAACATCGGTTGATACATGCTTCTTTGTCTTTTACTTCTCTTACCTGCTTAGCCTCATTGAAGTAGAAAAGACCGCAAACAAACCTCTCGAACACCAAACTGGGAAGAAGTGCTGATTTATTTCGCCAGGAGCTGCGGCAGGTGAAAATACCTTAACAGCCGAGCTCTCCAACAAAGAAAATCTTTGCCCTTTTAAAGGCTTACAACTCTAGAAATTACATTTGAAAGGGTCTTTATCCATGAAGTAGGCGTGGGTTACATGATGTAGGTGAGGGTCTGATCACGTTTAAGTAAAAGCAATGCCTTCTGGAAAGATTCCTCCGTGCCATATCTGTGATCTAGAGATGGGATTGTGGTTAGCAGTAGGGGTCTTATCCTTAACGTGGCCGGAGGTGCCAACTGGCCCCTCCTCTAGCGGACTTCTAACTCTTCCTTTTGAGCAATGTAGAAGGCTGACGCGGAAATGGCCTTAGAAGCTGAAGAGGATTAAGGGTCTCCTTCCTCATCATAACTTTCTCAAGCTCGGCAAGATTGGATTGCCTCTTCTTGCCATTGATACCTGGTTCCCATTCTATTTTGCTACACCTGCCTTACAGGAGAAATAGAAAGGAGGGGGAATGGGAAGCCACAGTATTTGCTGAGGAGTAAACCAAAATGTGCCCAAGTTCTGTTTTTTAAAAAAGGAGAAGGGTGTCACATCCGCATTACCTCCAGAGCAGTGCCCTGGGACATACCACTTCTCTGCTATTTACTTGCAGAACTGGGCTGCATTGGGAGGAGCCAGTCTAAGCATTTCAGCTTTTCCCCAGCCCTGCTGCTATTGACAGAAAAGTGCAGAAGCTGGCTGGACCCTTATGGGACGTTCTGTGTTCACTGGGAGGGTGGGGTTTCTGGGAAATGCTGTTGCTACCATCCTAATCTAATTATAGTGACTTGAGCTTCAGTTGCTTTGATAAATTGAACGTTTGAACCAGGCGATCCATGAGGGCCATCTAGCTCTGTTATTCCAGGACTGATTCTGCTTTCATATATAGAGAGCAAAAGGTGGTATGCGTAAGCATGCCTGTTCATAGTCAGATGAAGAGACACGGCCTGTCTGATAAAAGCAGCACCTCTTCTTTTGAGACCTCCAGTATTTGTGCCTTTGCCTCTTAAATGTTGCTGTCCACCTTAAACGTTCACTTGGGAAGAACACTTGCATTTCTGATGGGAGTGCTGCTGCCTGGCCTCCCACTGCTGCAGACCCTTTCTTTGAGGTTCACACTCCTGACAGCCCTGGGGAAGCCAAGGTGGCAGAAAGAACTGGGAGGGAATAGAAACAGTTTCACAGTTTTTCCAAAGTCAGTGAAGTGAAAAACAGCTGTCTCTGCGCTGGCTGGCAGAATGTAGCCTTTTGCCGGCTAATAAAGGCCATTAGAAAATGCAGCCTCCCTCCAGCCAGCCGTGAGCCTCTCCTGGATCATGATGCCTTTCATCCTGTGACATACAGGCTGTGGGAGGTGAGGGATTCTTAAAACAGAGCAGGAAGCCAGGAACCAGGAGCCTGTCAACCAAGGGCAAACTGGAACCAGAAGCAAGGACCAACCCCAGGAGATGTCCAGGGGACAGAGGTCACTGTGGGACCTGAAATGAGATGATGGGTCAGCCAGGGGTCCCCCAACCACAGCAGAAGTTTCAGTCAGTAAGCAGGCAGTGGGGTGGGAGCCGTGCCTGCAGTGAGCCCAGCTCAGAATAAGGACATCTTATAAGTGAGACAAGCCCACCTCAGACCTGCATGCTTCCTGCTGATCTCTTTGGAGAGATCAGAAAGAAACCTGGCAGCAGGGAGGAGCATGGGGTCAGGACCCAGTAAATGAGGCTAGATCCTAATGTGGCAGCTCTCCACCTTAAGGCTAGTGCACCCAGTTGTCTAGA